CCCCCCCCATGGTGCATTTGTTACAACTGATGAACCTTCATGGACACATCATCATCCAGAGTCCATAGTGTACATTAGTACGTTCACTTTTGGTGTTTGTACATTCTGTGGGTTTGGACAATGGATAATAACATGTGTCCACCATTGCAGTATCATGCAGAGTAGCTTCACTGCCCTGAAATTGTCTGCTCCAGTTCATCGTTCCTGTCTCCTCAACCCCTGGCAACCACTGCTCTTTTTACTGCCTCCTAGTTTTTGCCTTTTCCAGAATGTCAGATAGTTGGATTGTACAGTATGTGGCCTCCTCTGATTGGCTCCTTTCACTTAGTAATACACATTTAAGTTTTCTCCATGTCTTTCTTTTTAGTGCTGAATAATATTCCATCATATGGTGGTAGCACAGTTTGTTTATTCATTCACCTACTGAAGGACATCTTGGTTGCTCCCAAGTTTTGGCAATTACGAATACAGCTTCTGTAAACATCTGTGTGCAGGTTTTTGTATGGATATAAAATTTCAACTCCTTTGATTTAATGCCAAGGAGCACAGTTGGTTGTAAGAGTATGTTTAGTTTTGTAAGAAACTGCCAAACTATCTTCTAAAGTGGCTGCACCATTTTGCATTCCCTCCGGTTGCCCCACATCCTCACCCAAATTTGATGTTGTTAGTGTTCTGGATGTTAGCCATTCTAGTAGGTATGTAGTGGTGGCTCATGATTTTAATTTGCACTTCCCTGAGGGCCTATGATGTGAAGCATTTTTTCATGGTTCATTTGCCTTCTCTGTACGTATTTCTTTGTTTCAGTGTTAAAGTATCCCCTTCACAAAAATCAACATAAAAGGTCTTTGCCCCATTTTTTAATTAGGTTGGTTATTTTCTTATTGTTGGGCTTTAACTAGTTTTTGTGTGTTTTGGACAACAGTCCTTTATTAGATGTATCTTTTGCAAATGTTTTTTCCTTCTCTGGACAGTGTCTTTCCCAGAGTAGAAGCTAAAGTTGAGCTTGTCACTTATTTCTTTCTTGGGTGATGGCTTTGGTGTTGTGTCTAAAAAGTCATCACCGTGCCCAAGGAAGATGTTGATCTTTCAGATTCTCCTAGTTTTCCCTTTCTTTTCCATGTTTTTTGTGGATTTTTCACTTTGTCAGGTCTGCGCTATCACTCCCTGTGTTAACACCCTGCTGTTTCTTGGGCAGCACATCCCACCTTGTTAACACTGGGAGGCTGTGTGTGGGTTAGGGTTTTATTTGTTTTCCTTTGAAATAGTCTCTGTTTCCCGTCTTGCCTCCCTCCATATTCCTTGTTTGTGTGTTTTTTTTTTTTGGTCTCTTGCACGGGGAATTCTTAAAGGGAGATAGGATGTAGCTGGTTTGGGGGCCTCCATAGGTCCTTGCTTTGAGGCCTCTGGGTTCCTATGCCTCCCCATAGAGTGCACCACATCCCTTACTTTCCAGTACAACATAAGCCTTCACTCCTCAGCCTGGAGAGCGGAGTCAGCGCCCCTGGTTCAGTTGTTCCAAGGTGGTCACAAGGATGAGCATGCAGTTAGACCCCACCCACACTGTGTTAGCTCCCAGAATGTGTCTCCCCCTATTCTTTTTATCCTTGTGGGTTAGGCATCACTTTATCCGTAGTGATTTCAGGAGTGAAATGAGACAGATGTGTGGTTGGTTTGTTCTGAGTTCCATAATTTTTTATCCTTTGTATTAAGGAAAACTTGATGTTTGCAGAAAAGGAAATGTTACAGTAAAAATCTTTTTAAATTTTAAAATTTAATTTTTTGAATGGGTAATATTGTTCAAAACCAAAAAGAATTAAAAAGTGTCAAAAATGTACTGAAGCTAGTTTGGAAGGAGCTCTCCTGGGCAGGGTGGGACCATTAGAACATGACATTCAAAATGGGGCAGCTGGTTCTGACCCATTGAATGAAAGAGAAGTGTGTGAGTTCACGTTCATGTTGATACCTGGAGAAGGAAAAGTGGTTTCTTACAGCAAAGAATGGGAATAGCTGGAAGGAATGACTAGATAGAAAACCACCATTTGACAGTTGTCATGGCAGTAGTTAAGCCAGGAAATGTCAAGGTGCTGAAACCTGAAAGGGTGGATGTTTGATGAGCGGGGTGTGTGCATTGTCACTCAGTGCTCAGGTGGAGAGACCTTAGAATAGAGAGACCTGGTGACTCCACCTGAGCCCTTCATCAGGGGTGACATGGGTCGGTGGGGGTCTGGACATGCCCCACAAGTGGGGTACAGTGGGGCATATCTGTGCTAGGCCCATATGATGTTCTTCACTGGCCTCTGACCTCAGCAGTGTTTTTTCAGAGCCCAAAGACCAGGAGCTATTAGCTACTTCTGGGAGCAGGTGAATCACCATTTGAGAAAGTGATCGTTTTTTTCCTTGTTTGGAATAAAAGTTGAAGAGTGACAGTGCTGCAGTGTGGAGAGGCCAGCCAGGCCTGGCAGCTCCAATGCCCTGGGGGCCATCTGGGACTGAGAACCTACTTTTCCCAGCCCATGGCCTCCTGTCCCTTCCTGCCTGCTCTCTGACCTTGGATAGTAGTTGACTGGATGATGTCCCAGTGATTTTGCTCTGCTGAGTGAGGGAAGCCTGGGGTGAGTGTGGCTGGGACATGGCATGAATGTTCTCACACAAGCATGTTGCCACACCACATGGGCCAGACCTCCTTCTCTCTGAGACAGGGGTGGCCTCCACTGGTGGGAAAGAGCGCCCCTGACAGTGCTGCCCTGGGGCCCTTGTTGTTCCTTGGACTCAGTGCCCAGGTGTTGTTGGTCCCCATGTCTGGCCTCCTGTGGGGCAAGTGCTGAGCTCTCAGTGTGTTGGAAAAGGTTGGCTTCTGGTTTGTTCGGGGGCGGGGAGACTAGCTCCCCATGCATTTGTCATCTTGAGTGTGGGCCATCTTTCCCTGGGACTTGGTGGAACAATTGACACTGTGGGGCCTTGGTTCAGTTGTTTCTGTCCCCCTTGAAAAGTTCTGTGTTGGATTGGAGAGGGTTTACTAGCATTCCTTTGAAAGCCATCAATGTCAGGTGCTAAAGATCAGCCCTATTCCTAGGGTTCCCAGACTATCCCTTCTAAGGGTGATGGGGAAGGGGGAGGAGGCTTGAGATATCCAGCAGACGGGACTTTTTCTGTAGCTTAGGAACTAGAATTTCTTTAGCTCCTGCCCTGTGAGTTTCTAGGAGGAAACAGGGTGTTTGTCTCTCTGTTCATGGTGGGAGGGTAGGTTGTCTCTGAGCTGCTCCTGTGCTGCTAACCCTGGGTAGCACAGAAAGAGACCAGGGGACCCCTTCCTTATCTCTGCAGGTTTCTCTGGCCAGTGTCTCTCCCTCTGGTCTACAGCATGGGGAATATCTTTGCGAACCTCTTCAAGGGCCTTTTTGGCAAAAAAGAAATGCGCATTCTCATGGTGGGCCTGGACGCTGCAGGGAAGACCACCATCCTGTACAAATTGAAACTGGGTGAGATCGTGACCACCATCCCCACCATAGGTGAGGAGGTCAGGCCACGGGGGGCTGGGGGAG